ACGCGGCTGACACTGAAATTGTGTCCTACAGGCACAATTGTGTGCTGGGTTGGTGGAGAACCACAAAACACACATAAAACCACTGAGATATTTTCTTTCTTCTATATGCGATGTTTTTCTTGAGGTAGCTGGCCGCCGACTGTGTCGAACGACGAATATCGCCCCTCTTTTATACCACCTCGGCTGGGTCAATAGATACGTTGTACGTATCGTACAAACGGCGTCGACCAATCAGCGCGAGGCGTGACAAGTGACCACCTTGCTGAGTCACGTTACATTGTTTACCTTAAGCTAGTTCTACTATACAAAGTGACCACCTTACTGAGTCATTGTTTACATTAAAACTAATTCTATTATACAAATATAAACACTAAACTATTATTTTCTTATCATAACACAAAATGCTTATATCCTATTTTATGTGTAACTCTATAATCTTCATTCAATTAAATATAACATAAACGCTTATATACTATTTAAGTATAAACTCTAAACTATTTATTAATATAAAAATGTTTGTTTTATTTTATGTAATTATCCTATAACTATTTGTTTTCACTTGTCCCGCACATCACTCCCGCCGAGCGACCCCGTCGCATCAGCTTCCGGTGCGGGCTCGACGTCCGTAGATAGAGGCAGGATCACAAGCTTCCTCACTAAACTGCGTAGGACACCTCCCTTGGTCAGCACGTCTACCGTCCGCACGACGTTGTCGGGACCCGGATATGTAGCGATGACTCTTCCTCGTATCCACACGTTGCGGGGCAGGTTGGGATCGACGATCTGTACGAGGTCGTCGACGCGCACTGGCTGGCCTCGTCCGTGGGGCTCCCGCCGGTGTTGGAGCTCAGGGAGGTACTCCTTCACCCAGCGTAGCCAGAAGATGTCGGCTAGCCTCTGCGCAGCTCGCCAACTTGACCGTGAGAGGGCGTCTCGTTCGGTGAAAGTGCCTGGCTGTGGTACTCGTCCCGGTCCTCCCAACAAGAAGTGGTTAGGAGTGAGAGCTTCGGGATCCTCTGGACTGACTGAGACGTGAGTCAGCGGGCGGCTATTGACGGTGTATTCTACTTCTACCAGTAGTGTCGTGAGGACTTCTTCTGTCGGATGACATTCGTGTAACGTCGCGATGAGAGCGGTCTTGACGGAGCGAACCATTCGCTCCCAGGCTCCGCCCATAAATGGAGCTCCAGGCGGGATGTAGCGCCAGGAGATAGTCCTCTTCGCTGCTTCTTCTGCGGTCGCTGTGTCGACCGCCTGTCGTAGTTCCTTATCGGCTGCCTTCAGGTTGGTGCCGTTGTCTGACCATGTTTCTGTCGGGCAGCCTCGCCGCGTGATCATACGCCTTATGGCCATTACCGCGGAGTCAGCGCTGAGTGAGCCGGCGACTTCTAGATGTATGGCTCGCGTAGTGAGACATGTAAAAATGGCCACATATCTCTATTGTCGAGTTCGTCCGACGGTCACCGAAAGAAGTTCGAAATAGTCCACCCCGATGTAGGTGAAGGGGCGCTTGTGGTGAGCTAAGCGATATGTTGGCAGGTCTCCGGTTCTCGGATGCGGCGGTACTTGCATCTTCATTCTGCAAAATAGGCATCTTCGTAGTATTGTGCGTACGATAGGGCGCAGTCTCAGTACCGAATACTGCTGCCGGCACTCGTTGACTGTGGCCTCTACACCGGCGTGATGGAGTTGCCGATGTATAGCCTGCACCCAGAGCTTGATTGTATGATGATCATCGTCAATTATCAGCGGGTTCTTGAATTCTTCCTCCATGTCGCAGACCGCTCGTATACGGCTTCTAAGTCGTAGTGTGCCGTTTATTGACTCGACGCTGAGCTGGCGAAGGCGGCTCTCTTTGTTGATCGGCTTCCCGCTGTTTAGACTGTCTATTTCTTCCGCAAAGGATTCTTCTTGGGAGGATCGCATCAGGAGTTCTTCAGCTATTTTAAGCAGCTCGGTTGAGACCATTAGCGGCTTTATGTCTCCTGGCGACCGCTTCTTTGTCGTCGTGTGCGCTTGATATTTTACTGTAGCTTTGTTCTTTTTCCAAGTGGGATCAGCCTCTTTATTCTTCTTTGTTCTTTTGTAGTTGACTCTCTGTTTGGTGGTTCTGCAGAGATGAATACGCGCGGTTGAGTATCGGAGTCGGTCCCAGTTGGAGAATTTCGCTGGATCAGGTAGACCTTCTGCAAGCTTCAATCTTCCTTTGTTGCTCACGTGATGTGTTCTTTCTTTGTCGGAAGGTTCTTCAGCTGTTGCTCTTGTGGTTTCCGTTGGCCAGGAGTCTTCTGTTAGGTATAAGAAGTCAGGTCCTTTGAATCCATCGATGGTCTTTATTAGATGCTGCTGGTACGTCTCGTGTGGCGTCGTCCGCCACGTTCAGCTTTGTCGGAACCCAGCGCCAGTCGTTGACTTTGCTCTCTTCTATTGCTGCTAGACGATGAGCTACGTATCCACGTTATCCAAGTTAGTACTGTTTTGCTGTCCGTCCAGAATACTTTACGGTCAGGTTTCCTCTCGTGTTCTTCGACCACTATTTCTGCGAGTCTGGTGCCCATGACTGCTGCCTGTAGCTCCAATCTTGGGATGGACGTCAATTTTAACAGTGCCACCTTTGCTTTCGCCATAATGAGGGATAGGTGAACCTCGACTACTGCTGTTACAGCTCTCCAAAAGAGAACCGCAGAGTAGGCTGACTCGCTGGCATCGCTGAAGACGTGGAGTTCTAGGGAGGCCGCTTCGCTGTAGTGAAGATATTGCCACGGGATTGCTACCTCGTGGAGGCTTTTCAGATGCTCCATCCACATTTTCCACTGCTCCGCCAGGTCTTCATCGATCTTGTCGTCCCATGCTGTTCCTCTACGCCAGACTTCCTGGAGGAGTTGTTTTGCCCTGATGGTGATAGGCGAGGCGAATCCGAACGTGTCAAAGAGCGACATCACTATTCTGAGTGCTTCTCTTTTCGTTGACTGCTTCCCTTCTAGGAGTGTTGAGGGTATTCTGGCTAAGTTGAGGTTGAAGGTGAGTTCGTCTGAGTTGATCTTCCAGACAACACCCAAAACTCGTTCCGTCTTTTCTTCTGTTTTGTAGAGTTCCATGTCTTCTGTCTGGTTGTCTTCTCCAAGTGTTTCTAGGAGTGATGCTGAGTTCGATTTCCACTGTTTCAACTCAAAGCAGGCTTTCATGTGCACAGCTCGTACACTCTTCGTGATGCGTTTGGCATCTTCGAGGGTTCTGAAGCTGTCCAAGTAGTCGTCGACGTAATGCTTCTTTATGATGGCAGCTGCGGCTTCTGGGTGAGTTTCCCCGTGCTGTTTGGCGTTCAGGTTCTTGACGTATATTGCTGTCGAAGGCGAACTCGATGCTCCGGAGATTAAAGATGTCATTCTGTATTCTTCCGGAGGTTGGTTGTCTCGTCGATCCCCACGCCACAGGTAACACTGTGCATCCTTGTCTTGTACTCGTAACTTGACTTGCATGAACATCTCCTTGATGTCCGCCGTAACCGCGATCATGTGTTGCCGGAAGTGCATGACGACACCTGGTAGCAATTGTAGTAGGACAGGCCCTTTGAGTAGCATGTCATTACGTGCCACCCCTTTGGTCTTGGCTGCGGCATCGTGTACTATCCGCAATTTCTCCGGTTTCATTGGGTTGACTACTGCAAAGTGAGGTAGGTACCAAGTCTTGTCAGCTGTCCTCTGTTTTGGGGCGGGTTCGGCGTACCCCTTTGCGACGAGAGCGTCCATTTGTTCCACGTATTTCTTCTTTAACGTGGGATCACGATCGATCTTCTTTTCTATTTTGAAGAGCCTTTTCAGCGCGTTTTCGTAGTTGTCTGGTAACTTGACATCGTCTTTGCGCCAGAGAAGACCGGTCTGGAATCTTCCTTCTTCTATCTTTGTGGTGGTCCTTTCCAAGATACGAAGTGCTTGTTCTTCTGCATCAGTCTTCGGTCTCTTAGGTTTTATGCAGAGTGCGTCCATCTCGAAGTATCGCTTCACGAGGTCTTCTAAATTCTCGTCTGGATCCTCTGCGATGTGTGACACGAAATCGATGTTCTGTCCGAAGCTTCGTGTCTGGCTTCCGTGGAGTACCCAACCTAGTGGCGTAAGAGATGCCACTGGGTGGTTCTTGTCTCCTCTTCTTACATCCAATGTCAGCAGAAGATGCCAGTTATCTTGACCGCTCAGCACTCGTGGCTTTGCGTTTGCATATGTGAGATGTCCTTGGATATTAGAGAGGTGTTGACACTCTTCCACTAGTTCCTGTGGGACCCGTTGAGATGAGACTTGCAGGTTCTTCACTGTGTGTGCTTGTATTTGCTCTTCATGATCGTTGAGCCCCTTTAGCTTGATGGTGACTCTCCTTGATGCTTAATTATCCACTTAAAATATTTTTTGTGGTCCCCTATTATGCTTAACTTGTTAACGAGTTTCTTTTATAATACATCGTGTACTTCAGTCAGATCTTCTAGAATCTTACGAAACAAAAAAAAAAATCCAGAATAAATACCACTACGAAATATGAGGGTGTAAAAAATAAACTGTTTGATAATTTTATAAATAAGTTGTTTTGTCAAAAAATATACTGAATATGGAACGAATAAACATAAACACATATTTTTAATGATTTGATAGAGTTATTAAAATCAAATGCAAACATTGACAAAATTTGGAACCAAACTAAGAATTAGGGACAAAAAATTTATCGAGTCGTCTTTCGTCGAATATTTAATATTTATTTCTAAGGGTATATATTATTATCGACCAGAAGTAAAATTCAAAAATAAAAATGCACTCAAAACAAAACTTGAATTATAAACTTCTTATTACATTTACAATCTCAATTATTAATTAGCAACTTAAGCAAATATCTAATTCATAGCACGTCCACTCTCTCCGACCGTTCGAGCCAAAGTGCCGCTGCAACCGCTACCGGCTTTTACCCCACCATCTCGGTGACGCAACCGTAAGCCACGCCTTCTTTTAGTCATCGTCTTATAACACAGCCTCTCCTGACAGGCGGTCGTCCTCGTCCGCAACCTTTATGTTTTCGAGTACTGACCTCGCCTCAGCCTCCTCCGAATTGTCATGTAAAGAGTCATCCGACTCCGCTAAAAGTTACAAATGAATTGAACACTTTAGAATTTATCATTTAATATCTCGTAACAACATACTCCTTACAAAGAAAACGTTCATACTTCATGACATTACACTCATCTCTCATAAAAAACGTTCAAACTATTAACCACGTTCATTCACATCGTCCTCTGGGGGGCCCTCATACACCATACATCAGTTGGCTATATTACGGTAGTAACTAGTATACCGTGACAGTACCCCCTCTGGGCAACTGTCCTGCCGTGGTAGAGAATCACACTCGATACCAACGTGAACATGAAAAACTCCAAATGAGTAGTCCATCTGCCGTGACAGAGAAAACATCTCAATGTCAACGTAAGTATGGAAGAGATTCCTTCGGAACCTTCCATCTGCCGTGGTACAGAATCACACTCGATACCAACGTGAACATGGAAAACTCTAAGTGAGTGGTCCATCTGCCGTGACAGAGAAAACATCTCAATGTCAACGTGGATATGTATAAGTACAGTAACCCATACATACAACGACACATAAGCAAAACATTTGCATGATAGACAAACATAATATCATCGGTGACTTACAGTCAAAAAACGCAGCACAGGTCTCGGGAGTCCACTCTCCTGCCCACGGCACCATGTTTTCAGCTGCAGCTTCTGTACGCTTTCCGTATGAGCCAGCCAACAGCTCCAATTTATACCGATGCTGTGGAAGTCTTTTCAATACCTTGTAAGGTCCACGCATACAGGAATCTAATTTCCCCGCTGACTACGAAGCCTTAATCACAAATACCTTGTCGTTAACCTCAAACTCGTAAAGTGATCTACGGCCTTTATTTATACGATCGTCTTGTTTTTGCTGGTTAGTAGACAGTAGTGACGACACACGGTGTCTTCGTAGCGCAATAAGCGCTTCACGGTTTGGGGTAGCAATATCTATTGCGACATCTCGGACAAGAGCACGTATAACTGGGGTGGAAGTGTCGCTTCCGATAAGTAACTGAAGGGGAGACATATTGGTCGTACTGTGTTTTGTACTATTTAAAATAAGTTGAGTCTTCCACAATACATCAGACCAACTTTGACCTCTATGGTTAACTTCGATACGAAGAAGGTTTAGTAAAGTTCGGCAATAACGCTCGGCCTGTCCATTTTCGTGGTGCATGTTTGGCGTAATGAAATGAATGTCGCTGCCAAACGAACTGACCATATCTTGAAAAGCGGCACTCTCAAACATCCGTCCTCGATCCGCAACCAAAAGTCTCGGGGACCCAAACATCGAAACCGCGTTAGTAAAGGCTCTTTTCAATTCGTCAGTGTCTTGACGACGGAGGGAGTATAGAAGGCAATATTTCGTAAATGCATCAATAATAATCAATACGTGTTTATAACCTTGAGATTCAGGCGATGGACCAAGTGTGTCCATGTGTACTACCGAAAATGGTAAGTCTGGCTTAGTCCAAGATTCGATGGGTTGGTGAGAGGCACGCGGCACTCGTTTGTGTGATAGACACACAATACAATGCTTGAGATATTTCCTAACAAAAGGGCGTAATCCAGGAAACCAGAAATGATGTAAAATAAGTTCTATCGCTTTATCGTACCCAATGTGGTCTTGGTCATCATGAAACACATGAAGCAGACTCAGTCTAAATCCTTTAGGAATATAGCACAATAGGCGTGATTCTTCGCCAATGGGAAAATATTTGACATATAATAGTCCATTTCGTAACACGTATCGGGAAGAGTCTAGTTGACCGTTATTGAATTTATCAATGAGATTAAGTGTCTCCTCATCTGCAGATTGAGCTAACTTGGCCCAATTTTTGGGGTTTTGAATATGGCATACCTCCACAGGGTTCCTACTTAGGTAATCGGCATGGGACATTAAAGACCCTTTCCTGTATGCGAAAGTATACTGGAAGTCTTGCATGGATAACCACCACCTAGCTACACGGGGAAGCAAGTCCTTCTTACGCTCGGTTAGCTTTAGAGCGTTGCAGTCCGTAACAATTTTAAAGGGTACGCCTAACAAGTACTTTCTAAAATTCTGGAGAGCTTTAACAACGGCTAGAGTTTCCAATTCATAGGAATGATATTTGGGTTCCGCGCCTTGGGTTGATTTACTGAAATACGCTACTGCACGCCTAAGCTCACCCTCATGAATCTGTATTAAGACTGCACCGTAACCGATAGCACTTGCATCTGTGTGCACCTCCGTAGGTAACTGAGGGTCGTATATTGCAAGGATGGGTTCGTTTGTTAAACGGTCAATAATATACTGACGAGCTTTATCTTGTTCGACTCCCCACTCAAACGGCATGTTCTTTTTAGTTAAATGTGCGATACAAGCTGTTCGCTGGGCATAATTTGGAATATATCTTCTGAAATATCCCGCAAGGCCAAGAAACTATGGAATTTGTTTAACACTTCGAGGCTTTGGGGAATCAACCAATGCCTGGACCTTACGCATGCTCGGCCTAATCTGACCATTACTGATAACCCTCCCAAGATACTCTATTTCACTGCTAAGAAAGGTACATTTCTTAAGATTTACAGAAAAACCAGATGAAGTAAGGGTTTCTAAGACACGTCGTAGTAGGGCTAATCCTTCGAGTACCGTATCGGATAGCAAAAGGTCATCGTCATCTATGTACACAAGGACCTTTCCTGAATCGATGAAAGACTTGAGAGTCTTTGAAATGATGTTTTGATAAAATACTGGAGCGATAGAAAGGCCATAAGGCATTTTAACATATTCGAAGTGACCTTCTGGGGTCACGAAAGCGGTTTTGGCAATTGATCCTGCTTCCATAGGTACCTGATGAAAGCCAATCGCCATATCTAAACTCGTAAAGAATCTACTTGACCCTAACCTATCAGTGTGATCCTCTATGAGTGGCAAGGGAAACTTGTTTTTTTACAGTGCGTGAGTTCAAAACCCTATAATCTACGCACATTCGATCCGTGCCATCTTTCTTTTTAACCAAGATCACGGGGCCGGCGTATGGTGATTCGGATTCACGTATAATGCCTTTATCCATTAGGTCTTTAACTATACTCCGAACGCGAAGCTTCTCATCGTAAGATAATTTATACGGCCTATAACATACCGGTTTATTGTTGGAAAGTTCTATTTTCATACTACCTGTCGTGACTGTTGATGAAGCTGTGCCAGTTATAAAGAACTTCGAAAAATCACTGATAACCAACAAAAGCTGTTCTTTCTCTTCGCCTTTAAGAGGTGTGTTTACATTATTAATATCAAAAGCATGGTTTACCGGTAAAGGCTTGCCTGTACGCGTCAGAATTTGAAAACCATTTTGTTGGATATATGTGATGCCTTCACGATTCAGAATATCGGTGCCTATAATGACCGGAGTACTGATACAATCGTGGGGTACCACATAAAATTCGGTTTCAATAGATATGTGAGGTAGCTCCACTATTAATGTCACAAACGAGGTACACTCGATAAGCTGACTTCCTATACCTCGTAAAATGTGGTATGTCGGTCTTTGGTTAACCTTAAAATGTTTCAACAATGAACTCGATACGAGTGATATGCAGGAACCGCTGTCTACTAATAAATCAATCGGTACGCCTTCAATTACTGCGCTTGTAACATCGATTGTCGATCTCGAAACATTACTGTCTAATTTACTATAAAAATTTACATTGTGCGGGTTAAGTTTTGTCGAATCTGAACGTTGTTTGGCAAAACAGTCATTAATTTCATGACCACTCTTTTTGCAAAATGAGCATGTTACAGAATGCGGTGACTGTGTGTTAGACGACGACGGCCCTGAATTATTACCTAGTCGCATTCTTTTAGCTTTTTTACTGTCTATACGCTTATGCCCAAACCTCCTACAAAAGTGACATCTTAAGTCGCCAACCCCCTTTTTATTTTCATTCCGTCGGGTAATGTTTGATTCAGAACTAGGATGCGATCCACGAGTGATATCACGGGTAGACGGAAAATCATTTTTTGGTTTTATGTACATCGACAAAAAGTGCACTAAATCGTTGGGTTGTAACTTTGCATTAGTAGCTGCAGCTTTAATATGAGGATCTGTGATGCCCCTTAATACTATAGCGACAATCAGTTCGTCAGATAGTCCCCTAACCAAACCCAACCTTAACAACGAACGTCTAGCGTATTCGGCGTAAGTAGCATAACTTTTAGAATCTTTGGTCATCACTTCGTAAAGAATAGACGCAATATCGAGGGTTCGAGGACACAACATTTTAAATTCTTGTTTGAAATTCGTCCACGAACGATCGGTGCTGGACCACTCGCTGAGCCAGACACGCGCTTCTCCCTTCAAAAAATTACCGATTCGCGACAAACACTCGTTATCGTCCCATCCGTTAGTTTCTTTAGCCCTATCTACTTCCTCGCACCAAACGTCGATATTGTGAAAGTGAGGGTCAAAGTTAGAAATATAATAATTATTAGATCTTACTTTAACTAACGAAGTGATGGCCTCCACGATTCTGCCAGTTGTGTCTCCGCCTGTGGCAATGCTTTCCCGTGATACCGAGACGGGTGCGTGAACTGCCGTTGAGTCGTCATCGCGTACGTCGTCGGTGGCTGCACCAATCATTAGCGCGGGCAGTACCGGGTGCGGTGCCTGCCCCGAAGATGTTGACGCAGCCTGTAAAAGTGGCTCGGACGGTGGTGGCGGCGAAGTAAAACGTTCCTCAAGCGTATTCAATCTAGCAAGGATAGCATTCAGCACATCCTTGTTCGACTCATGCTTGCGTTTACGAGAGCGAGATTGTTGTTCAGACATTTTAAGATTTGTAAACTGAACACTAAGTAAAAAGACAACTACTAAAACGTTAAAATGTAATCACGACACTAATCTTTAATTTTAATGTTAGTCAGGTGTTCCAAAAGCGGGTAGGCTACGAAGCACTATCCCACTTCTGATATTATCGACCAGAAGTAAAATTCAAAAATAAAAATGCACTCAAAACAAAACTTGTATTATAAACTTCTTATTACATTTACAATCTCAATTATTAATTAGCAACTTAAGCAAATATCTAATTCCTAGCACGTCCACTCTCTCCGACCGTTCGAGCCAAAGTGCCGCTGCAACCGGGACCGGCTTTTACCCCACCATCTCGGTGATGCAACCGTAAGCCATGCCTTCTTTTAGTCATCTTGTAACAATATTATATTAAGGGGCTACTCCATGCGAACGACCTTGAGCATTTGGTGTGCCGCGCCGACTCGCTACAATATAATATCACGTAAGAATGAAAGAAGTATAATATATGTAAGGCGCCACCTACTGTAAGAACGTAGTATTTTTTCAACATCAATAAACTATTTTATGGAAATACACACAGCGTACAACGATAAATGTATCTCAAATTTTTTATTCGGTATATTAGTTGCATTATATTAGAGTTATGTATTCTCATATAATATTATCTAATTATGAAATTTTATAATTAATTATATATTAAAAATGAAGCATTGAAAATTGTGAGTTTAAAAGATACCTACTCACTATAGGTAAATAGATAGATAGCTCGCCTTTTGTACAAATATTTGGTGCAATAAAGAATAAATAAATAAATAGGATGTTTCGCAGAGTGAGAGTAATATAGAATGAGAGTCGTGGAGGCAGTTTACAAACATAAATTGCACAAGGACAAACATCCAGACCCGGAACAATTATTTGTAGGCCATACAAATACTTGTTCCGTGCGGGATTCGAACCCGCGGCCCCCAGTGCAGCAACTGATTGCTAAGCCAGTGCGCCACGGAGCCGTCGCCGGTTTATAGCTAAAGTGACCATACGTCCCGTTTTGAACGGGACTGTCCCTTTTCTCAGTCACCTGTCCCATTGTCCCCAAACAAAGCTCCGGGACACAAAATTGTCCCGTAACTCGTTGGATGGAAGTATTCAAAGTCAACAATCTTCAACATAATTTTTTTTAATCGAATATATTTTATGTCTCCCTGGTACAAATGCTCCAGTAGAAAGAATATTTTTTTTATTTTGAACAAATTGTGGACGTCTGAAAGAAACACTTACGGTTCCAGTTCTAAAGGCGATGTTGTTAACAAAGGTAACCATAAAAAAACTTAAGCAGAATTTTATTCTTATTTAAAATTATCACCAACTTTATTAAAGCAAATTTAATCCACTGACAAATGTAATTAATAATTAAAAAAAATATGTTGCATTTAATAATTACCGTCTATACCGAATATAATTTTATATTGAACACTAATTGTGTAAAGTTATAGTTTTTAGAGTGTAAATAAACCCATGTCCTGTTTTGAGTTAAAAAATAAATGGTCACTTTAGTTTTTTTTTAGTTAAATTTAGTTTAAAAAAAATTTAGTTTATATTAAAAAGTAGGTATATTAATACCTACTTAGATACTTTTTACCGAATTAGGGTAGAAGCCCCTAATACCAGTCATGCCCCTAATTGCAGTCTTTTCGCCTTTTTACTCCATAAATAAGATTTCTAGTAGTCTTAACTACAAATATTTTCATCTAAAAAATTCTTTGTACCTAGAGGAAACTATATTTATTCAAATATTACCTCGCAGTTTTAAACCTAACAGTGTTAAAATCAAAACAGGTACGCAACGAAAAACGATCATTTTCCTAATTATTTGACAAGTTATGATCCCGGTAAAATTATGCTTATTTTACATTATCTCATATATAGGCTTTTTGATTTGTATGAATATGACTATAGACATAGTAATGCAGTTATTTTTGTTTGAATTTACAACTTATTTATTTTCTTTTAGTGGAAATTAATGGGACTGTAATTAGATAATATAAGAAATGTATGGAGTGCATAATGTCAGCCGCCCGGCTGTTATTTGGTTTGACGTACCTAATAAGATGTACCTAATTTCAGCCACGTAATATAAATGAGAGCTGCCATAAACTGGAATAAATACCGTTAATTAGATCATAACTTATTTTATAGCTAAGGGAGTTATGATCAATTCGTCTGTTTTAAAATTGGTTTTAGATTTTAAAGTTTAGCAAAAGATGTACTAGCTTTTCTCTGACATTCGGCGTATAGAACATCTTATGTACTCAATTATTTTTTTTTTTTGAAAAAGAAGAAAAAACAAGCAATAAATAAAAACAAAAACGGGCCAAAAACTCATAACTGACTTTTTGACAAGACCCGGGATTCGACACAGAGACCTCATGATCAGCACTCGCACTACTACAACCACTAGACCAACGAGGCGGTACTATACCTAATAAGATATTGTGGTTGGGTGATAATATTGAATTAGCCTTTTATAGTGTAAATTATAATATTTGTCGAAATTTTAATTATGGATTCGAACCTTACATGCTAATGGTGCTTCATTTTTTTATTTGCATTTACTTCAAAGAAAATACACGCAGAAAGCTTCATCGCGCAGTAAAAAACACAACAAATATATATATAACTAATACGAAAAATTATACCCAAAACAAACAAATAATACTACCTATAAATAATCTAATAAGTAATATTATTATCGACTAATATGACGTGAGTGTATGTGCTGGTCGACGCTCTAACGACACGGGCTTCGCGTCGAAGAGCTCAGGGCTCACTGACTTCAGTAAGCCCGTGAGCAGTGAATATGCCCAGATTTTAAAATAAATTCTTAATAAAATCAAATATTGGTCTTTTGAAAAAAAATTTTCTATAGAAATATTCATTAATAAATTGCCTATCCATTGGTGTAAATCGCAAAATAAAATAATACTTACTTTACGAGGAGATGCATGTTATCAATAATAATTTCACATTTATGTGGTTTCGTTGTAAGGAGATTATATTAATATTTATTCCTTTTAAAAAAAATTGGATATAGCTTTTATGGAGTCAAGATTATGTAGAAATATAATGTGTTTTTTATTTGTTGATATATCTTTTAAATAAAAAGTAGATAGCTTCTAAAAACAGCACAAATAACGACTAGCACGACATTTTGCTCAACCTGCGCCTTAAGTTCATCGGTTTTTTATTTCTTACATTTTTATGTTTAGTTTATTTTGTTAATGGCAAAAATATTTTTTATTTTTTAAATGGTTTTTGTGGGTACTTGTAGAAAATTAAACAATGTCAAAGTTTGATTAATTGTATGATAATAATAAAAACAAAAATGAGAAAAAAGCATAAAAAAATACAAAAATGTCAAAAATGAAATAGAAAAGAAGAAAGTTAAAAAGCTTAAAATTATTATTTTGTGGCATGATGTTGCGCAAAGCAAGTAAACGGGCACAGAGTCACGTTGCAACCAGGGCAGTAAACATGGATGCGTTTACGGCATACAACGCAAACTCTGCGTAATTTTTCCCCGCCTCGGCCTGGAAGAATCTGGTATTCTTTGGGTAAGTGTAAAAAATAATTTTCTGAGTAAGAAGTGGCGCTACCGTGTAAGGTAATGGCGTTACTTGGAGGTTGTACTTTCCTTTTTAACAAACTCTTAATGAGTTCCAATCTAAAACCTCTGTGTGTGGTGTATCTTGGAACTGGGTGTTCCGGCACTGGGGACTCAGAGTGCAAGATGAAACTGTTCAAGACACTAACGTTAAGTAGCCGCTTGAACAGTTTCTTGTACCACACGTGAGTCCTCTTTCGTTCCATAGGGAACATCGCCAGTTTTTGATCCTTACGATCAACCCCTCCCATACATAAATTATAGTCCAAAACGACTATCGGTTTGATTTTGTCATTTATACGTTGTACTGCGTTGCCGTGATACGTGGATATAGTTGCCACCCTATTTTAATCTCGCCAGACCAAAATATCCACGTCTCCACTGGTACATCCCTGTATTTCTCCAATAGCCATGTTGCCTTTTTTTAATGATGCCAACTGTGGGGGTACGAACTGTCGATTTGTACGTAATATACCGACACAATCAAAACCCATCGTTTTTAACGTACGTGCGAGGGCGGGACTGTTATAATAATTATCCATCCACACACAGTGGCCTCTGTTCTCGAGACCTTGCAAAAGATGGAGGACCAAACTAGGAATGATCCCAGATATGGGAGTAGGCGACTCGGTGGTACTCTCTTTGTTACCTGAATGGATTTCAAAACGCCAAAGATATCCAGACTTAGCGTCGCAAACATCATAGGTTTTGACACCAATTGACGCAGCCTTGTTTTTTATAAATTTATTAATTGCTAACCACCCCTTCCATTGCGTCAGCGATTCATCTATACAAATATTTTGTTTCACTTTGTATAATAACTGAAACTTCTGGTTGAGGTGGTCAGCTATATGCTTTATTTTATAAATTTTAGCCTCCGAATGACTCAAAGCCAAGATATTATCATCATTTTTTGCAAAATGTATAAATTTATTCTACAGAATAAATCAGTTGTAAGATATGTATTTTGCAAAATTCGGCGTGTCACAAATGGACTCGTTGCAATGCCAGTACTCCTTAATATTGGACTTTAAACTGAGTCCCATTGCCAAAACTATCCCAAAATAAACATATAGAATACCTTTTCTTTTAGAAAATTCTTCTTCGGCATACCTATTTGTTTCTATAACAATATGACTCATGATTGCGCTGTCCCATGTGGACAAAAATATGGCTTCTGGACTCGGTACAGATTGTCCTGGCAAGTTCAGAACAGGACCATCGGCTTCCCTAAAAAACTCACGCCTGTCCCGTGGAGGGATCGGTGTGTCTGGAAAAGCTTTCCAGTCAAAGAGGAATCGCTCGGGCCCGGCCGACGTGCTGTATAGTATAGCATTTCCTGTCGGTATTTCCCCAG